AAGTGGTCACCATCCTGAAGTTCTAGACTAGAGTGAGAGGATTTATTTCTTTTCACCAAATCTATGTGTCCTCTCCCCTCTCCCCTAACAGGGTGTCCTGTTCCCAGACCCGAGCTGATCTACCACCTGGAACATGGGCAGGAGCTATGGACAATAAAGAATGACTTTTCCCAAATCACCTATCCAGGTAGGAGTCAAGATCTGGGCAGGCAGGAGTCCTGTGGTGTGAGGACACCTGTGGCCTTAGAAACTTCTTGAGAAACTTCTTATTATGGCTTTTCTGGGGTGTTTGGGGGCCATGGGTCCCTTTGACCTGTGGTCCCTCTGTCCTTCCAGCCCCATCACACTGATCATCACTCCTTAGGAGAAGTGAGGTTTATGAGCTGAGATCTGTCTCAGGGCTCCAGCTGCGTGGGCTTGAAACCTGGTTTGCTGATCACCAGCTCTGTGGCCCTAGTGAAGCTGCATGATCTCGTGTTGTTATAAATAAATCGAGCTAAGTTAATGCTACCTGCTTTATCAGATGAACTTTAAAATCTTGGTAACTATTTTTCTCATGCATATCACGGTCTGTGTGGGTTATTAAGGAGCTCTACCACAAGTTATTCAGGGACCCAGGTACTTTCTGTCATCAGCCTGTTGCTTTAAGGTTATCCTCACATTCTCCAGCTGGTAGAGAATTGAGAGAGGAAGGGAAACACACCCAGTTCCAGAAACATCAATTGCCCTCACATTTCACCCACAGGAAGGTACGTATTTGGGTCTGGGGGTCTGAGAGATGTGGCTGAGCTGTGCGTCTAGGTAGAAGAGCAGATGGTTTGGTGAGCATCTACTCAGTTCACTACACTGAGTCTGTTTGTGAAAATTGTTGTTAAGAATATTTTCTTTGTCACTGGGTTGTGTGAGGGAGGATATTAATGCATAAAACAGCAGTGTCTGAACCACAGTGACTCATCAGAAGTAAGCTATAAGTATTATTAGAGCTTATATCATATTAATTTTAATGAATAATATCTCACATTTCCTTCTGAACTCTGAAGAAAAAGGCCTTTTTTACTCTCCCAATTTCTCTCTCCATCTGTATTCTGCCTACCACCCTTTCCCACCTTCACTACCCACCTATCCTCTGAGTGTCAGTCCAACACTAAGAAGCAGTCCCTTGCCCATTTCTTCCTGCATCTCCTGTTTTGTAGAACTTCAAGGTGACATGTGACCTTCTCTGTCCCACATCTGGGCTGCTGAGGCAACTAGGGCCATCATGTGTGTTCATTGGTGCCACTGCAGAGTCACGGTCTCTCCCCTCTGGTGGTCCCTTGGGTTGCTCAGCCAGCCCATGAAGGTCTTTATGCAGTCCCTCTTCAGCCCCTCAAAGTCTATTCCAAACCTTCTCCCATCTTCAATCACACATCTCTACTTGTTTTTTTTTTTTTTTTTTTGCAGCTGGCTGATAAGGGGATCTGAACCCTTGACCTTAGTGTTATTGACACCACACTCTAACCAACTGACCTAGCTGGCCAGCCCTGCACATCTCTGCTTGAATGTCTGAAAGGCACCCAAACTGTCAGGTCTAACAAGGAACCCATGATTTTGCTCACTTCTCCCACCTCCCAAGTTTCAGTGAGTGGTGCTGCCATTCAGGCAGGTTAGAAGGCTGGATACAACCTCAGACAACTCCTCAACATCTCCATCTCCATTAGTTCCCCCCCCCCCCACCATTAGTTTCTATATTCAGCCATCTCCAAATTCTGTGCACATCTCCTGAATCAGTCCCCTTCACTACTGATACCAAATCTATCCTCACACTCTTATTTCAAGCTCTAATCATCTTTTTCTTAGGGAATATTAATAGACTCCTAGCTGTCTACATCTGCTTCATGCCTCTGGTCAGCTCTGTGTCCTGCATAAGGTACCCTCAGCACTCAGACCTTGTTTCAGATAATTACCATTTCCCCAGCCACCAGTGTCTCAGGATATGACCACTGATGTGTCAACAAGTTTTCATGTTGAAAATAATGTCTACCTCCTCGTGTGCTTGATCTTCAATCCTTACACGTTCATTGTAACTTCTCATATCTTTAGCTTCTCTTTTCCCCTAGTGGAAAAGGTCTTGCCCCAGGCCACGGCCAATTTTTACACCAGTCTATATCACACCTTTCTGTGGATAATTCTTCTTCACTTATATTCTGTTTTGTAACTTCATCCTTTCTCTACTCAAAATAAAAATATTCTCAGGTTTACAGTTGAAGAAGATAAAACAATTAAATGCTCATGGTTCACAATGTATTCACATATTCATTGACTCTCTGGGCATTTAGTTTTTACATGTTTTCATTTCATAAGCAGTGATGCCATGGATATTTATATATACTGTTCACCTTCCACTTGTGTAGGGGCATTTTTTTGATAATGTTTCTAGGAGTGAAATTATTGGATTATAGTCTGTGCAGATGTTCAAGTTTGCAAAATCATTCCAGTTGTTTTCTTTCTTTCTTTTTTTTTTTTTAATAAAAGATGACCGGGGCCGGCCTGTGGCTCACTCGGTAGAGTGCAGTGCTGATAACACCAAGGCCATGGGTTCGGATCCTATATAGGGATGGCCGGTTTGCTCACTGGGTGAGCGTGGTGCTGACAACACCAAGCCAAGGGTTGAGATCTCCTTACCGGTCATCTTTAAAAAAAAAAAATTAAAAAAAAAAAAAAAAGATGACCGGTATGGGGATCTTAACCCTTGACTTGGTGTTGTCAGCACCACGCTCACCCAGTGAGCTGACCTGCCATCCCTATATGGGATCCGAACCCATGGCCTTTGTGTTATCAGCACCACACTCTCCCGAGTGAGCCACGGGCTGGCCCTCATTCCCGTTGTTTTCCAAAGTGCCTATACCAATTTACATTCCACCAGGAAAGTATGGGAGCCTCTTTTGATCCGTATCCTATAAAATACTCAATACTTTAAGGCTCCTCAATATTCACTTATCACATGGGCACAGAATAGTATCTCATGTGACCTTGATTTGCATTTTCCTCATTACTAACGAGGTTTAGCATCTTACTGTAAGATTTTTGGCCAATCTGTTTTCTTCTGTGAAATGTCATTACATGATGAATGCCTGTTTTTCTATTAACTTGTTTGACTTTCTCTTTTTGGTTTGTAGGGATTCTTTGTACATTCCTGATACATGTCATTTATCAGTTATACATGCTACAAATATATTCTTCTAGTTTTTAATTTTATCTTTTCATTCTCTGAAGTATCTTTTGTTGAATGGAGGTTCTTATCTTAGTGTAGCCCAGTCCATGCCTTTTCTTATGTGATCAATAATTTTGTGTGTTGTATGAAAAAATGTTGCTCTACCTGAATATTGAACCAATGTTCTTGTTTATTTTATTCTAAGATTTATAACTTGGCATTTGACACTTAAGTTTTTATCTATCTGAAGTTGATTTTGAGTACAGAAAGAAATAGAATGCAATTCTTTATTTTTTTTTTTTTTAAAGATGACCGGTAAGGGGATCTTAACCCTTGACTTGGTGTTGTCAGCACCATGCTCTCCCAAGTGAGCTAACCGGCCATCCCTATATAGGGATCCAAACCCATGGCCTTGGTGTTATCAGCACCACACTCTCCCAAGTGAGCCACAGGCCGGCCCTAGAATGCAATTATTTTCATTCCCTATGTGGATAGCCAGTTTTTCTAGTTCCATTATTAAATAGTATCGCTGCTATACCTCCCCTGCCATCTACCAAAGCTCTCTCTATATGAGTTGGTTTCTGAGTATGTATTCTTTTTTCATTGCCAGTTTGCCTTATCTCTGTGTCAGTACCACTCTGCCTTATGAGTTTTGTCCTGGGAGTGACACTGTCACTCAAGTCACAGTCTTGGGAATCAACTTCCCTTTGTCTCCACCTGTCCCGAGAGTCTCATCAACACCGTCTTCTCATGTACTGCAATTCCTTTGTATATTCTGCCTCCTAAGGCTACAGTGCCCTTCCCATTTTTGCTCTGGGGCAACTCTTATGGTGCCATTCAGACCACATTATGGGGCACCTCCTGTAGGAAAATTTCCTGATCTCTTTTTATCCAGGTTTAAACAAATTCAAGGTTAAAGACATAGTCCTCCATGACTGCTAAGTCTGTTCAAGTCTTCTAACTCCATCTGCAAATTCACAGATTTCCCAAAACCACCCTCAGTTCCCGTAATTTTCTAAAAAGGTGCACAAAACTTCCCAAAACCTATTATTCTCACAGTCATGTTTATTACAGACAAGGGACATAATTTAAGAGAGATATGAAATGTTGGGTTGGAAATGTTTCAGACATGAAACTTCCATGTCTTCAGTGATTTGTTACCCATTTGGCATCAATGTATAGTAATACATGCATGAAGTATTGCCAACCCAAGAAGCTCACCAGAGCTTTGGTATTCAGAGTTTTATTGAGCTTCATTGCATAAGTACACTTGATTGGATCATTGCTCTATCATTCAATCTCCAATCCACATCCACTTTCCAGAGCTTCAGTGGATATCTTGTGCCTCAAACCCCAATCCTCTATTCGCATGGTTGGTCTTTCTGACATGGCTATCCCTTACTCTTAGTCATCTCTTTAAAACAAACTATCTAGGGGCTCATAATGAGTTCTCTTTGTATAGATATCTGGTCTGGAATTGAGCAGGTATCTCCATTCTAGACTCTCTGTCTTCTCACCTAGCCTCTCCATTTGGTCTTTTCTTCAAGGGGTCAAGAAGCCAAGGAACAGAAAAGAAAAATTCCAAACCTGTTGTTCAGAGATGGCAAAGTATAACAGATGTAAAGGCACTATTTTTAACTTCATTTTTTTTTTCACTGAATTGGTAATTTTGTGTCTTCTGTGTTGTCATTACTAACAGGACTTACTGTGTATTGGATTTCTTTCAGGGGACAAAGGAAAACCCAACAACACAGAACCTGCCACTTGTGAGCCAGCTTTGTCTGCAGGAGTCTCACTCCATGGACAACAAATGAAAGGAGCCTCAGGGGACTCCCAGTTGGGGCTAGCCAAGGATGAAGATGGGCCATCCAGAATGCAGGAAGAACACTTGAAACCAGAGATAGATTCCCAGAAGGGGAAGCTTTCCGGGAAAAGGAGCCCTGAACACAGTGGTTTAGGGACAGATGAGGATGTGTTTTCAAGGATTGTACAGGAGCAAGTTACTCCAGGAGATGCAGTCCATAGCCATAACTCATGTGGATCAGGTCAAGATCACAGTGGTTTAGGGACAGATGAGGATGTGTTTTCAAGGATTGTACAGGAGCAAGTTACTCCAAGAGATGCAGTCCATAGCCATAACTCATGTGGATCAGGTCAAGATCCCGGGATTCAGGAAGAGGAAAATATCTTTAAATGCAATGAATGTGGGAAGGTTTTTAATAAGAAACGCCTCCTTGCTCGACACGAGAGGATTCACTCTGGAGTGAAACCCTATGAGTGCACAGAGTGTGGGAAAACCTTCAGCAAGAGCACATACCTCCTTCAACATCATATGGTCCACACTGGGGAGAAGCCCTATAAATGCATGGAGTGTGGGAAAGCCTTCAACCGCAAGTCACACCTTACACAGCACCAGCGGATTCACAGTGGAGAGAAGCCTTATAAGTGCAGTGAATGTGGAAAGGCTTTTACCCACCGTTCTACTTTTGTCTTGCATAACAGGAGTCACACTGGAGAAAAACCCTTTGTGTGCAAAGAATGTGGGAAAGCCTTTCGAGATAGGCCAGGTTTCATTCGACACTACATCATCCACAGTGGGGAGAATCCCTATGAATGCTTTGAGTGTGGCAAGGTCTTCAAACACAGGTCATACCTCATGTGGCACCAACAGACTCACACAGGGGAGAAGCCCTACGAGTGCAGTGAATGTGGGAAAGCCTTTTGTGAGAGTGCAGCCCTGATTCACCACTATGTCATCCACACCGGGGAGAAGCCCTTTGAGTGCCTCGAGTGTGGGAAGGCCTTCAACCACAGGTCATACCTCAAGAGGCACCAGCGGATTCACACTGGGGAGAAACCTTATGTGTGCGGTGAATGTGGAAAGGCCTTCACTCACTGCTCTACTTTTATCCTGCATAAAAGAGCCCACACTGGAGAAAAACCTTTTGAGTGCAAAGAATGCGGGAAAGCCTTTAGCAATAGGGCAGACCTCATACGACACTTCAGCATCCACACTGGAGAGAAGCCCTACGAGTGTATGGAGTGTGGGAAGGCCTTCAACCGCCGGTCAGGACTCACAAGGCACCAGAGGATTCATAGTGGAGAGAAGCCCTATGAATGCATTGAGTGTGGGAAAACGTTTTGCTGGAGCACAAACCTTATTCGACACTCCATCATTCACACTGGAGAGAAGCCCTATGAGTGCAGTGAATGTGGAAAGGCCTTCAGTCGCAGCTCATCGCTCACTCAGCATCAAAGGATGCATACTGGGAGAAACCCTGTTAGTGTAACAGATGTGGGAAGACCTTTCTCGAGTGGGCAAACCTCAGTCAACCTCCAAGAACTTCTGTTGGGGAAAGACTTTTTGAATGTAACCACTGAGGAAAGTCTTTTGCAGGAAGAGACATCTTATGTGGCATCTGATCATTCATACCAAAGGGAAACCCCACAAGTGTCTTCACTGTGAGCAAAACCTGTTACAGAATATCACTTGTCACCTAACGAGTCATATTGGAATTTCACCCAGCTTAGAGTCTTATTGTGCATCTGAGAATTCATCCATGGAGAGACCCAGTGGTTATTGTACACTTAGGAAAACCTTTACTTACATTTTTCTCTTTAGTTTACAGTGCAGTGGTTATCTCAGGAATTTTTATAAAAAGGAGGTGATATGTAGAAGAGGAAAGAAAACAAAATGTAAGCACTGCTTCTTTCATATTACTTGGCCAACTCTATGGCACTTGGCCATGGATTTCTTAATTTGAGTGGAGACCATTGTTGTTTAGTAGTTAAAGGGTCATGACCCTTTATGTGTCTTTATTTTTTTCTTTTTCCTTTATGTGTCTTATATGTATGTTAGTTGCTGTCCAGTGTCAGGAGAGTTAGACAGTTGAAGGCAGGTTTGAAAGCTTATTGAATATTGTCTTTGTTCTACAACATTGTCTCTATTTTTTTCTTTTTTTAATTTTTGGGCAGTTGGCTGGTACAGGATCAAATAGTCTCAGTTCTTGAGGAGCATAAGTTTTTATGAGGAATATGAAGTCTTCAGTCATGAAATACTTTTGTATTTAAGGAGATAGGGAAACATGTGGATAGGCAAATTTTATTGTACCATTTAAGACTATTTAAGTCTGATTTTTAAAAGACAAACTCCTCTGTGGTTTTAAACACCTAACACCTAACAAGAATTTTTCTTGATCCCCGTCTGTTGGTTTACTTGATTACTGTACTGTATAGGAAATCTTAAAATTAGTAAAGTGATTCCTCTCTTTATTCTTCTTATTTGTAATTGATTTAGCATTCCTAGTTCCTTTGTCTTACCATATATACTTTAGGTTTAATTTCTCTGTTTTTATGAAAAAATCTTGGATTTAGATAGAAATTGAGTTAAATCTATAGATAAGTTTGTTGAGTCAATTCATGAACACAGTATGACTCTTCATTTATTTAAGTATTCCTTGATTTACTGTTTTATAATTTACAGCATGTAGCTCCTGTACATTTTATTTTATTTTATTTTATTTATTTATTTTTTAAAAAAGATGACCGGTAAGGGGATCTTAACCCTTGACTTGGTGTTGTCAGCACCACGCTCAGCCAGTGAGCGAACCGGCCATCCCTATATGGGATCCGAACCCAGGGCCTTGGTGTTATCAGCACCGCACTCTCCCGGGTGAGCCACAGGCCGGCCCGATCTTAACCCTTGACTTGGTGTTGTCAGCACCACGCTCAGCCAGTGAGCGAACCGGCCATCCCTATATGGGATCCGAACCCAGGGCCTTGGTGTTATCAGCACCGCACTCTCCCGGGTGAGCCACAGGCCGGCCCGATCTTAACCCTTGACTTGGTGTTGTCAGCACCACGCTCAGCCAGTGAGCGAACCGGCCATCCCTATATGGGATCCGAACCCAGGGCCTTGGTGTTATCAGCACCGCACTCTCCCGGGTGAGCCACAGGCCGGCCCGATCTTAACCCTTGACTTGGTGTTGTCAGCACCACGCTCAGCCAGTGAGCGAACCGGCCATCCCTATATGGGATCCGAACCCAGGGCCTTGGTGTTATCAGCACCGCACTCTCCCGGGTGAGCCACAGGCCGGCCCGATCTTAACCCTTGACTTGGTGTTGTCAGCACCACGCTCAGCCAGTGAGCGAACCGGCCATCCCTATATGGGATCCGAACCCAGGGCCTTGGTGTTATCAGCACCGCACTCTCCCGGGTGAGCCACAGGCCGGCCCGATCTTAACCCTTGACTTGGTGTTGTCAGCACCACGCTCAGCCAGTGAGCGAACCGGCCATCCCTATATGGGATCCGAACCCAGGGCCTTGGTGTTATCAGCACCGCACTCTCCCGGGTGAGCCACAGGCCGGCCCGATCTTAACCCTTGACTTGGTGTTGTCAGCACCACGCTCAGCCAGTGAGCGAACCGGCCATCCCTATATGGGATCCGAACCCAGGGCCTTGGTGTTATCAGCACCGCACTCTCCCGGGTGAGCCACAGGCCGGCCCGATCTTAACCCTTGACTTGGTGTTGTCAGCACCACGCTCAGCCAGTGAGCGAACCGGCCATCCCTATATGGGATCCGAACCCAGGGCCTTGGTGTTATCAGCACCGCACTCTCCCGGGTGAGCCACAGGCCGGCCCGATCTTAACCCTTGACTTGGTGTTGTCAGCACCACGCTCAGCCAGTGAGCGAACCGGCCATCCCTATATGGGATCCGAACCCAGGGCCTTGGTGTTATCAGCACCGCACTCTCCCGGGTGAGCCACAGGCCGGCCCGATCTTAACCCTTGACTTGGTGTTGTCAGCACCACGCTCAGCCAGTGAGCGAACCGGCCATCCCTATATGGGATCCGAACCCAGGGCCTTGGTGTTATCAGCACCGCACTCTCCCGGGTGAGCCACAGGCCGGCCCGATCTTAACCCTTGACTTGGTGTTGTCAGCACCACGCTCAGCCAGTGAGCGAACCGGCCATCCCTATATGGGATCCGAACCCAGGGCCTTGGTGTTATCAGCACCGCACTCTCCCGGGTGAGCCACAGGCCGGCCCGATCTTAACCCTTGACTTGGTGTTGTCAGCACCACACTCTCCCAGGTAAGCAAACCGGCCATCCCTATATAGGGATCTGAACCCCTGGCCTTGGTGTTATTAGCACCACACTCTCCCAAGTGAGTCACTATATAGGGATCCAAACCCATGGCCTTGGTGTTATCAGCACCACACTCTCACAAGTGAGCCATGGTGCAGCCCTAGTTCCTGTACATTTTAAATAAGATTTATATCTTCATGTTTTTTTGAGTGATTGTAAATAGCACTGTGATTTAAACTTTCGATTTTTATATGATGTTTGGTAGTATACAGAAATATAATTATTTTTTGGATATTATTTTGCTTTTTGGGTATTGTTCAGCTGTCCTGCAACCTTGCTGAAGTCACTTATTATTTCTAGCCTTTTTTTTTTTAATAGAATCCTTGGGATTTTAAACATAGAAGCATCATCTGCAAATAGTTTTATTTCTTCCTTTCCATCTGTATACCTTTTATTTCCTTTTCTTGGGTTATTGCACTTGCTAGGCTTTCTAGAATGATATTGAATAGGAATAGTGGGATGTCATCCACGCCTGATTCCTGATATTAGGGGGAGAATGTTTAGTTTCTCATTAGTACTCACAAGTTTTTTTATTATTTTTTTTTAGAAGATGACCGGTAAGGGGATCTCAACCCTTGACTTAGTGTTGTCAGCACCACGCTCAGCCAGTGAGCGAACCGGCCATCCCTATATGGGATCCGAACCCAGGGCCTTGGTGTTATCAGCACCGCACTCTCTTTTCTTTTTCTTTTTTTTTTTTAAAGATGACCGGTAAGGGGATCTTAACCCTTGACTTGGTGTTGTCAGCACCACGCTCTCCCAAGTAAGCAAACCGGCCATCCCTATATAGGGATCTGAACCCCTGGCCTTGGTGTTATTAGCACCACACTCTCCCAAGTGAGTCATAGGCTGGCCCCACAAGTTTTTTTTAAATAGAATTTCTTTGTCAAGCTTAGAAAGTTTCCCTGTGTTCCTAATTTGCTGAGATCTTTTTGATATTATTAATGAGTGTTGGATTTTGTCAAATTCTTTTTCTCCATCAGTTGATATGATCATGTGATGATACTGCTATAGTATGTTGATATGACATATTATATTGATTGAGTTTAGAATATTGAGCCAGTCTTGTATCCTTGGTATAAGCCCCTGTTGGTCATGGAGTATAATTTTATTTATATATTATATTACAGTATTCCATTTGCTAGTATTTTGTTGAGGAAGTTTTCATCTAATTTCATGAGTGGTAATGATCTGTAGTTTTCTCCCTTTTTTTTGAACTTTGTCTGGTTTTGATGTCTACATGATACTAGCTTCCCAGCTGATTTGTGAATTATTCTCTCTTCAGTTATTTGGAAGACAGTGTGTAGAATTGGTGTTGCTTGTTCTTTTCATATTTGATAACATTCTGCAGTGAACCATTTGGGCCTGGAGATTTTTCATTTGGATGCTTTTTAATTGTATATTTATTTAGTAGGTATAGAGCTATTCAGAGTGTTTTATATTGGGTAAATTTTCATAGTTTGTTTCAAGGAATTGTTGCATTTCATATAAATTTTCTAATTTGTAGCATTGTTCGAAATATTCCCTTACTATCTTTTTGATGGCAGCAGGATCTGTACTTATGTTCCTTGTTTTATTCCTGATATCGGAAATGTATCCATTTTCTTTTCATGTTTGTCAGTATTCTTAGACATGTATCAGTTTCATTGATCATTTCAAAGAACCTGCACTTTATATCACTGATTTTTCTCTACTATCTTTCTGTTCTTAACTTTACTGATTTCTGCTCTGATCTGTATTGTATCTTTCCTTCTTACTTGCTTTGGTTGTATTTGGCTCTTAGTGATTTCTTGAAGTGGGTGGGTGTTTAGATTGTTGATTTGAGGCTTTTTTTCTTTTCTAATTTAAGCATTAAGTTCTGTAAATTTCCTTTACGGCAGCATTAGTTTCATCCCACAAGTTTTAATATGTTTTACTTACGTTTTATTTAATTCTACAATCTCTTGATTCCTTTCGAGGCTTTCTCTCTAACCTGTGAATTATTTAGAAGTATGTTTTTAAGTTTCTTAGTGTTTGGAGTATTTCCTGCTATTTGTTATTAATTTCCAATTTATTTCCCATTTGATATGACTATTTAAATTTGTTACCTTTTGTTTTGTTTTCTTTTTTTAATGACCCAGGATACAGTCTATCTTGTTCTGTATAGCTTCATGAAAAGATTGTGTGTTTTTGGGAGGAGTTTCTCTAAACGTGTACATGATTCTGTTGATTGCTGGCATTATTTGAGTCTTATATATCTTTTTTTTTTTGTCTTTTTCATGACCGGTAAGGGGATCGCAACCCTTGGTGTGGTGTCGCCCACACTGCGCTCAGCCAG